GTGTATGCATTCTACGTTTGTGTATGCATTCTACGTTTGTGCATGCATTCTACGTTTGTGTATGTATTCTACGTTTGTGTATGTATGGGTCTATCTATGGGTGTTTGTCGAAGAATCGATATATGTTTGCACGCAAGGCAACCGGAATTTTGACCATGATTAGCCTGCGCGAGTATTTGAGGCTGGATGAACACGATCTACACGAGGTATGTGCAGTGGTGCGTTACATATTGCTATATCTGCCTATGCTATGTTTGTACGCGAAGGTATAAGTGTGTGGGTACGCATCCCACTGGGCTATTCGACCGCTTTGTGAGTACCAAGGTAGGAGAGTGGCAGCTAGTTTGTCACCTGAATTTGTGCCCTTCACAAGGGACTTATACGTTTTATGTTTTATTTCGTATACATGTGTATTGTACAATTTTCATTAACGTTTTGCATCTATCACTGAATGTACTTGTTCGTTCACACACAACTGTACATGAGCGGAAACGCTCATTTACTTGACTGCAACTATATAGTACCATTCATACGCTGTGATCCGGACATTACAGGAGAGCGCGCCTCCGGTCCGATCGCACAGAGAATTGGACCAGCGAGTGGAGTCTGCGGCACAGGCGTTGGCTGAACTGTCCTTTGCACGGGGTGTAGCCCAACCCACTAACACGGGCTCGCCCCAGATAGCCCCACAACAGCACAACGGACCACCCCACAACTCCCAGCAGCAACACACACAGCACGACGCGTACGGCAACGACGGACCCCGTCAACACCCGCAGTATGCACCACAACAACAACCACAGCCACAGGCCCAGCATCGTCACCAACACGCGCCTCAGCAGCGAATGTCCGGTGCACCACATGACCATATGTACCCACAGGATGCATATACACACGCACCCGCACTCGCACACTCACACAAACACAACCAGTCCATCTCAGCCAAGCCACAGAGGCAATTATCGCAGCCTATACCTGGAGAGAGGAATCGATACCAACCCTCGCCCAAGATGAAGGGGGTCAACAGGGAACACATAGAGCGAGACAGGCCGTACCATGGTAGCAGCTCACACCTGCACGCTGGTTCGCATGCATATCAACCATACGACCACCCCTCCCACCCACTGAGGTCACGCTCGCCCGACCCCATCAAGAAGAAGAAAGCTCCGCCAAAGTGAAGCAGTTGAGCGCTTTGATTTATAATGGGTACCTGCGACTGTACGATGGGTACTAAGCAGGCGCGTTGATTATTTGCACGTCTGCAAACCATGCTGCACTACATACAAACCATGCTGCACTACTTGCAAACCATGCTGCACCACATGCAAACCATGCTGCACTACATGCAAACCTATTATGTGCTAACGGAGGAGACGATGCAAGAGAACACCTCTCTGCGGAGCGGTTGGGTATTTTAGGCCATGACCAATAGTTTTGCCTCCGCTCAAAAGGCAAACTGCTCAGACGATCAGTGTAGAAGGTGCGAAGCAATCGCATCAACGCTCGTGCAGGTTAAACATTCTCTTTTGACTTCTAGTGCTACCGAGTGTTGAGATTGGGCCGTTACGGAAGAGGGCGTCAAGTGGGTGTGCACACAAACATCATACACACGACACAAGAACCCAGGGCATTCCATCGGATAGTCATTGAACTAGATGGCAAACACGTGTAGTCATCGCACGCACAGGCACCAAAAACGGTGAGATCAGTTCTGCTGACATCTCGGAAACACTCAATACATCATAAAACGGGCGGCTTGTTCCTCGGAATACACAACCGCGATGAATTGGGGGTAAGGGTACACATCAGGTAATTTGACTTGCAGACGTGTATTGCGTTACACATGTGCACTTGCACACAGTCACACGCTCACTGTACACTGAGATAATATATGTAATGTTCTTGTGGCACTGACCAGTATGCCACTGTCTGGTATCACAGAACACTGTAGAGTGAGATTTCCTGCCTAGTATCACAGGACAAGATAGAGTGGGAAATTTTAGACATAGGCACGCGACCGTTTACCTTGTTCTATGCGGAAAGGCACATGGGCTCCAGAAGCTGATGTATAGACTACTTGGATGTTGTCAAGGGTTACGCATACTGTAATCTGTATTATGCTTTTCATTTTTTATATTGCGATCACAGCAATTCATCTGCGCAAGGTGTAAATATGCGATTGCGCTCCACATCGCCCGCTGAGCTCGCTGACTCCTTCAGACTCAGAGTCTCATAGTCTCATCAGACTCTCAAGTCTCAGAGTGCAGACGACAGTGATCTAAAAACAAAAACCCTGAAAACCCAAATGAACCAATTTTATCCCCCGGGGAATTCGGCCAGCTGATGAGCTGGTGTAGGATTCTTGTCAATATAATTGGAGAATAAACTGATCTAAAGCTTTTTGATAGACCAATGAACACTGCGTATAAGTCCAAAAAGTTTTATCAATTTTGATTAGTGGCTATTAACGACAGAAGTGTATCGAGTGTCGTGTATTAAATATATAAGACAAAAACATTCGCTTCAGTACTGAAGTCAGCCCTCGGGAAAATACATTTCATCGTTTTTTTTAGTTTAAAAAATACAACAACTATATGTCGTTTATTTCAAAAAAGAGTAAGAGGAAATTAGTATACGACAATGAGTGCCTTACTCATCACTGTCCTCCTGTTAGGGACACTGTATGTGCTCCTAATTAGGGAAGTAGTAATTAGTGAAACCCGCAATGATTCCACATTGGAATCGTGCGACCAGGGATAGCTGTTTATGACTTCATACTTTTCTTTTGCTAAAGAGAGAGAGGAGGCTATGCTTTTAAGATGTTAAACAAATGTACAGCACCAAAGTCGCGACTGTGTACTGCTATGTAAATAAACAAGATTGCCGATGCCAACTTTCACTTTTTGATCCAAACATAACTTTACTAAATTGGATTACACCAGACCAAATATGTTTTTGTTTATTGAAGAGAACGCGGAACAGGTAGCAACGTACGCCGCCAACTACATCAAGAAGCGCATTAATGACTACAACCCTGGACCAGATAACTATTTTATCATCGGTCTACCCACAGGAGGCACTCCCATCCAAACATACCAGAAGTTGATCGAGTTCGTTAAAGCAGGCGAACTATCCTTCAAGTATGTCAAGAGTTTCAACATGGACGAGTACGTTGGGTTGGAGGAGGACCACCCACAATCATACCACACATTCATGAGGGAGAACTTGTTCCAACACATTGACATCGACTTAGCCAACACGAACCTTCTCAATGGAAACGCACCTGACCTCACAGCCGAGTGCCGAAGGTACGAGGAGAGGATCTTGGCGGAGGGTGGCATCGATCTGTTCCTGGGCGGCATGGGAAATGACGGTCACGTAGCCTTCAATGAGCCCTGCAGCTCTCTGGCATCACGCACGCGGATCAAGACATTGACATCTGACACCATTGTCGCGAACGCTCGGTACTTCGACAACGATGTGAGTAAAGTGCCAAAGATGTCGCTTACAGTGGGCGTGGGAACTGTATTTGACGCACGTGAAGTGCTTCTGCTGGTTACAGGGGAGAGCAAAGCCTTGGCTCTGCACAACTGTGTAGAGAAGGGCTCGTCACATATGTGGACCGCCTCGGTATTCCAGCACCACACGAACAGGTGCGTGTGTTATTATAGTGTGTACCTGTTCTTAGCGTTTGATGGTATTCCTTACCACACAAATAGGCACGTGTGTTGTTATAGTGTGCAATTGTTCAAGTCATTTAGTGGTTTATCTTGCCACACAAACAGGTACGTGTGTTATTATAGTGTGTACCTGTTCTTATCATTTGGTGGTATTTGTTGTTGTAGTGTGCAATTGTCCATACCACACAAACAGGTACGTGTGTTATTATAGTGTGTACCTGTTCTTAGCCTTTGGTGGTATTCCTTTCCACACAAACAGGTGCGCGTGTGGTTGGAGTGTGCATTTGTTCTTTGTCATTTGGCGGTGTTTCTTCGGCGTAATATTAGGTTCTCGATAAGTGTGCATATTCATGTTTCGTTTGCATATGATTATGTATTTGAGCTACTTGTGTACGCATGTGATTATGTATTTAAATTCTCTCGTACGCATGTGATTATGTGTGATAACATATTTTAGCTACTTTCGTACGCATGTGTTTATGTATTTAGATCCTTTCGTACGCACGTGGTTATGTATTTGAATTATCTGGTACGCATGTGATTATTTGTGATAACATATTTTAGCTGCTTTCGTACTCATGTGATTAGGTCTTTAGATTCTTTCGTACGCATGAGATTATTTGTGATAACATATTTTAGCTACTTTTGTACGCATGTGATTATGTCATTAGATTCTTTCGTTTGCATTTGATAATGTCTTTAGATTCTTTCGTACGAATGAGATCATTTGAGATAACAAAATTTAACTACTTTCGTACGCATGTGATTATTTATGATAACAAATTTTAGCTACATTCGTTCACATGTGGTTCGGCTTCGTTATAATCAAGCCTCCTAAAGGGTCTTTGTGCAAGACTATATCATAATCTATGCTCAATACGCGTTCAATTATCCTATCGTCGATAACAACTCACAACGCCCGATTCAATGTACCCACTCATACACAGCACGATTGTCTGTGACGAAGCGGCTACCATGGAACTGAAGGTAAAGACGGTTAAATACTTCAAGGACACGCGTAACATCATCAACGAGAATTTCCCAAGTGGTCAATAAGTGCACAGATACAGTGCGAGTCTACTGCAGTCTGCACCACACAACAACATATGTACAAACGCGTTCGAGAAAGCATTGAATGGAGAGTACCAGATGCTTTGGCGAACCAAGATACGGAAGTTAAATTAAGCTTGACACCGAGTTGGGAGTTTTAAATCGAATACCATCAGATGGCAATGGAACTACAAACTCGTGGATACATACAACACGTTCTTGTAGACTACATACACAAAGCCGACCTCAAATATTAGAATATAAATGTAAATGCTATTTCACCGATGTTCTACATACATGTTAAATACATTTGTACATTTTAATAGGCGTATAGAAAAATACGTTCGACTTTTATCAAGTACAGTTTAAAGTATTTACACGAATGAAAAGTCACATATGTACGAATTTTGTACCCAGACGAATGTAAATCTAATCACAATGGTGCAAAATATATGCGCATACAAATGTACATAACCATCAGACGATATATATGTATACGTATACAGATATACATACAAACATCAATAGATGAATATATTCACACACAAAAAAAACTGCTTTAAGAAATTTTTACCCATACGAAAGCAAACCTATATTCACATTGAATACAAAATAAACGCACAGAAATGTATATAATAATGAGACGATACATATGTATAGATATATACATACATAATTAATATATGTATATTTATAAATAT